AAAAATCAGGAGGATCCCGCGGCTTGGAAGGTCCTTCCTGAGGACTGAGGGGTCCCCGTCCCACACCAGGTGTCCCGTTCAGGGTTCCAGTGCCAGGAAGAGAAGTCCCCATAACTTCTGGCTGGAAAAACCAGCGGAAACTGAGGCTCAGGGAAGCTGAAGCGGCTGGAGCCCCAGGCAGCTCCTTAAAGGGCCCGCGCACGGACTTATCGGACTCTCTCCCTCTGAGCTCGGAGGGGAGGCAGCTCGAGGGGCACCAGAGACACACAGGGAAGAACTGAGCTGTTTGGCACTGGAGCGAGAGCTGGAGAGGGGGCTTCCTCGGGGACAAACGTGCTGTCAGAGGCCTTTGTTCCTTTGGTGAGCCCTTCCCGGGGGCGGCAGACAGAAGCCATATCTGGGACTCCAGTAACCTGGCTCACACTGGTAGCCCCGCCCTGCTGACTCCCTGAGGCCCCGCCCCACCCAACTTTCAAGCCCACCCAAGCTGTTGCCAGTTGCTTAACCATAGGATTGGCCGGTCTTGGATCCTGCTTCAGGTTTTTCCTAAATTCTTTCAAACGAGCAGCACCGGGTCTCAGCGAGCCCCATACCTCTCATTAAGTAACACACAGAAACAAACACAGGGAGGCAGCCAAAATGAGGAGACAAAGAAACAGGTCCCAAATGAAAGAACAGAACAAAACCCCAATAAAAGAACTAAGCGAAAGGGAGATAAGCAACCTAACAGATACTGAGTTCAAAATACTGCTTATAAGGATGCTCAATGAACTTAGTGAGAACCTCAGTGAACTTAGGGAGGGCATCAAGAGCATAAAAAAGTACCAGTTAGAAATCATGGATACACAGTTAGAATTAAAGGAGGCATTAACTGAAATAAAGAATAATTTACACAGCTTCAATAATAGAGTATGTAGATCCAAGGAGCAAACCATCGATTTGGAATATAAGGAAGCAAAAAATCCCCAATCAGAAGAGCAAAAAGAAAAAAGAATCCAAAAAAATGAGGATAGAGTAAGGAGCCTCTGGGATAACTTCAAGCGTGCCAACATTCGCATCTTGGGGGTGCCCGAAGGAGAAGAGAGAGAGCAAGAAATCGAAAACCTGTTTGAAACAATAATGGCAGAAAACTTTCCTAACTTGGTGAAGGAAACAGACATACAAGTCCAGGAAGCACAGAGAGTCCCAAACAAGATGAACCCCAAGAGGCCCACACCAAGACACATCATCATCAAAATGCAAAAGGTTCAAGACAAAGAGAGAATCTTAAAAGCAGCCAGAGAAAGGCAGCTAGTTACCTACAAGGGAGTACCCATTAGGCTGTCAGCTGATTTCTCAAAAGAAACTTTGCAGGCCAGAAGGGAGTGGCAAGAAATATTCAGAGTGATGAAAACCAAGAACCTACAACCAAAATTACTCTATCCTGCAAAGCTGTCATTTAGAATCGATGGACATACAAAAACTTTCCCAGACAAGAAAAAGTTAAAGGAGTTCATCACCACCAAACCGTTATTATATGAAATGATGAAGGGTCTTTTTGAAGAAAAAGATAAAATGTATGAACAAACAAAATGGCAATGAATACATATCTATCAACAATGGAATCTACAAACAAAATGAACAGGAAGAACTGAAACATTCTCATAGATACAGAGAACATTTTATTGGTTGCCAGTTGGGAAGGGGGTTGGGGGAATGGGTGAAAAAGGTGAAGGGATTAAGAAGCACAAACTCATTGCTAGGCTGACAAACCTCAAAGGGAAAGGGGTTGGGGGGGTGGGAAGAAATAAGCCAAAGAACTTATATGCATAACAAATGGACACAGACAATAGTGTGGGAAAAGGTGGGAGGGGGGCGGGAGTGGGGAGGAGGGGGTCAATGGGGGAAAAATGTGGAACATCTGTAATACATTTTACATCCAACAATAAAGATTTGGAAAAAAAAAAAAAAAAAAAGAAGAGTTGCTTTTGTTTATTTGTGAAGGCTGATACAATGAAGTTGGAGAAGGCTGGCTGGAATGATTAAAGGGGTGAGGAAAGGGGAGGAGAAGGGCTGTATGAAGCCAGGTGGAAGAATAAGAAGGGAATGCAAGAATTCCAGAGGTCCCGGGGGGAGAGAGAGGCTGCCGTGTCCATCAGAACTGGACTGCCAGAATTAGAGGAGTCCGGCTCGCACAGCTGGAACTGAGCTCACCGCCGGAATCCAAGAGCTTAATCCTCTGCCCCCGCTTCCCTTGGTGCCTCTAGCAGAGAGAATTCGAAACTCAGGAGACCATGAACCCTGACCCAGTCTTCCCCCCAACATTTCTTTCTAAAAATTATCAAACATACAGAAAAGTTGACAGAATTGTACACCGAAAGCTCAAGTTCTCACCATTCAGATTCTGCGATTAACATTCCTCGTCTGACTTGATCACATGTCTATCCATCCCTCTCTCCATCCATCAATCCATTTTATTTTTTGATACATTTCAAAGTAAGTTGCCAAGAGACCCTGGCACATTCTGACAGCTAAACAGTGGATTGCGGTGGCATACCAAAGGAGAGATTTTGCTGTTACGTTCATTGCCCCAGATGTCACAGATTTCACCCCAAAACAACTTACCAGCCTTGTGGAGCTTCCTCCCATGATGCCGTTTACTTCTGGGCTCTCAACTTCAGATGTCTCCAGGGGCCAGGGAGGTGATGCGAGGGAGTGAAGCAGCCCTGGTATAAGGCTGTGGGGAGTGGGGAGAGCTGAGGGCCTGGAGAGCACCTGCCCCATGGAGACAGGCAGGCGTCCATTGTCAACTCCAGCCCATGGCTGCCATGAGAGACTCATTAGGGCTTTTATGTGAAATCTTTCACATTTTAAATGTTTGTAAATAATGCTTACTTACTGGGCAAAGAGTATCAAGGATGACTCCTCGTGTATGAGTATTCTAACTGCTATAACAAATTACCAGTTATCAACACAAATTTATTCTTAACAGTTCTGTAAGTCAGAATTCTGACATGGGTCTTATTGGGCTAAATCAAGGTGTTGGCCAGACATTTCTTTCTGGGAGCCCTTACTAGGGAAATGATGCTTATCTGCATTGTTGGCAGAATTTAGTTATGAGGAGCGAGACTCCCATTTTCTTGCAGACTATCAGCTGAGGAACCATTTCCAGCTTCTAAAGGCCACCCACCTTCCTTGACTCATGACCCCCTTTCTCCATCTTCAAAGCCAGCAGTGGTGGAGTCTCTCTCACACTTAAAATCTGTATTCCTTCCTTCTCGTCTCCCTTACCAAGCCAGAAATGTTGTCTGCTCTTAGGGACCCCTGTGATTACACTGGGCCCACCTGGCTAATTCAGTTTTCTCAAATTCATCTCATGGTTCTTAACCTTAATCACATCTGCAGGTTACCTTTTGCCATGTAAAGTAACACGTTCACAGCTCCTTGGGATTAAGGCTTGGACATATTCAGGGACTGCTACTCTGCCTACTACAACTGATTTCTGGCTAGAGACACAAGATAAACAGTTTTTTATTCCCTTTGAGCCTGCCTGGTCTCAGGTTCCCTCTTCTGGACCCTGGGAAAATTTCTAATATCCCTAATGAAATACATTTCATAGATAAAGAGAAATGAAGGGCAAAAGGAATCTTATGTTTTCTGTAATCATATTGTTAGCAGAAATATTGGTATTGTTTTCCTGAAACTATTATATATTATAGGAAAAAGTAACTATGTTAATGTTAACAACCTAGATTTTTAGCAAAAGAGATAAAACCAGACTGATATTACAAGAAAAGAAAAATACAGACCAATATCTGTGATGAATATAGATGGAAAAATCATCAACAAAGTACTAGCAAACAAAATAGCAACAGATATGAAAGATTATACACCATGATCAAATAGACTTTATCTTAGGAATGCAAGGTTGGTTCGATGTAATATACTAGATTAATAGAATAAAAGCCAAAACCCATATAATCATCTCAATTGACACAGAAAAAGCATTGGGCAAAACCCAGCACTTCATGATAAAAACATTCGACAAACTAGGAATAGAAGGGAACTTCCTCAACCCAATAAAGAGCATCTGTGAAACATCTATACTAACATTATATTTAATAGTGAAAGACTGAAAGCTTTTCCTCCTAAGATTAGCAACAAAATAAGGATGTCTGTTCTTGCCACTTCTGTTCAACATTGTACTGGAGTTTCTAGCCACAGCAATTAGACAAGAAAAAAAAAAGCCATCTAGATTGGAAAGAAAGAAGTAAAACTATCTCTATTTGCAAATAACATTCTCTTGTATATGGAAAATCCTATAGAATCCATACACAAAAAATTAGAACTAATAAATGAGTTCAGCAAGATTGCAGGGCACAAGTTCAATATACAAAAATCAATTGTATTTCTATACAGCAAGGAACAATTTAAAAATGAAATGCATATTTATTAGACATTTCTCCAAAGAAGATGTACCATTGGCCAATAGCACATGAAACTATAGTTAACATCATTAGTCTAGAAAAATGCAATAATGAGATACCACTTCACACCCACTAGGATGTCTCCACACACTCAAGAGTTGGCGAGCATGTGGAGAAATTGGAACCCTCATAATTGCTGGAGGGAATGTAAAATGGTGCTTCCACTTAAAAGATAGCTTGGTAGTTACTTTAAGAGTAATCATGGAGTTACTTTATGATCCAGCAATTCTACTCTAAGACTAAAACAAGTTCATCCATGTGCAGCACAGAACCCCAGCGCTGCTCCATCAGCACTGGCTGTCATCGTTTTGGGTCTTGTATACTTATCCCTGTACTGTGTGCAGGGATTGGAGGCAGGACTTCAGGATGCCAAGTACAAGATGGTTCTGAAGTGACAGAGTCTCTGACTTTCACTTGTTCCCTGAAGGCTGGAGAGGAAGTGGGATTTGCAGTTAGCCAAACCATGTGCCTGAGTTCTCTTGACAAGATGAGAGCTGAACCTGTCCTCTCCCTGTCCCCTGTGTCTCCCTCTAGCTGCAACAGCAAACGCTACCTGGAGACGCTCCCCAACACCAGCATCATCATCCCTTTCCACAATGAGGGCTGGTCCTCCCTCCTCCGCACCGTCCACAGCGTGCTGAACCGCTCACCCCCGGAGCTGATCGCCGAGATTGTGCTGGTTGATGACTTCAGTGATCGAGGTAGGGCCCATCCCACCCAGTTCCTGCCCCCTGTGTTCATCCTGTGACTTACTTGTCACAGGGGTGACAGGTTTTCCCTTCTTCAGCAGCACCAATATATGGGCACCACCCACAGATGCTTGCTGTGAGCCAGGCTGTGAACCTGGCACCGTACACACATTATCTTATTTAGTCCTCACAGCAACCCATGATGTAGGTTCTATTTTTATCCCATTGATATCACTGGAGAAATGTATCAAATTGAAAACAACAGAAAACTTGATAAACATTAGCTCAAATAAGTAAGGGGTTTCTTTATTTATTTATTCAATCATTCATTTTACGATAAGATTCAGGATTGGTACAGACGCTTAAGGCTATCGTCAAAGAACCAACCAGTCTTCTGTCTTTCTGCTTCCTCATCCTCATGGTCACAAAATAGCTGCTGTACCTCAGGAAGGAGGAGGAAGGGCAAAGAGAACCAAGCTTCCTCCTTACAAGACTTTGCCTTCTTATTCAGGAAAGACTTTTGACCACAACCCTAACATCTGGCCACCCCTGTCTGCAAGGGTGGGCCAGGGGAGTGTTTACTTTGGGGCCTCTTTAGTAGAGGAAGGAAAGAGAGAAGTGAATTAGAGAAGGTGTTAAATGAACCCCCACAGTATATGCCACACCATTTAACAGATGAGAAAACTGAGGCTCAGAGGTTAAGGGACTTACCCTTGGTCATGCAGTTCTTAAGTGGTAATGTGGTGATCAGACCATGTCTGTCTGGCCCCAAGAATGTGGTCTTAACCATTAGACCACACTGCCCTGCAGCCAGTAGCCTCGAGCTTATTCTTTGTATCAAAGGTCTTCGTTGCAAAATCAGGAGAAATATTTTCCTCTGCTCACCTTCTTGTGGAGGCTCTAAGAAATAGTGAAGGGGGGAGCCTAAGTGCACTCCAGAATAATCGAGGCTGACCTCCCGGCCAACCCATTTGTAATCCTGCACTCTTAATTACATGCCTTTAGTACAGAGGCCACACACACACCTTACACTCAGTTCCTACCACCTCTAAAAGTCTTTCTAACTCTTGGCCTACGCTCATTCTCATGGGACCCTTTACTTTTCCTTCTTAGCATTTATCGCAGGCAAAATTAAATTACAAATAAGTATAACGTGTAAACATTGTGTGTGTTAAACATTGCCTGGTTGCATGTCACCCCTGCTAGACTGTACCTTCTAAGAGCGGGGGCTACCACATTGGTCTCGTTCACTCATCAAACATATATGCTTGATGAATGAATGATCAGAGCTCTCTCTCTGTTCCCTAATACTTGGCCACCATGGTTTCAGAACGTCCAGCACCTAATATGAGATTTATCTGTGTCCCTGAAACGAGGTCCGTGAGCCCACTGAAGCCAGGGGTGTGGCTCCTGGTCTCCATAGCCCCATTCTTTAGCAGAGAGTCTGGTGGTCACTAGACCATTTCTGGTCTAGAAGTAGGCGATTCATAAATGTTTGTGAATTAGTGAATGAATGAATGGATAAGGAGGGGAAGGAGGGAGGAACTGTATGGCAGCTACATCCACACACACAGAAAACCATCCTAGCAACAGGGCCGTCCTAGCAACAGTTACATCTGTGATCCTGCCCTGTCATTTACCAAGATCTGTGACGTTGACCCAGTCACCTGACCTCTGTGCTTGAATTCCCTCATCTGTAAAGTGGGACCACAACAGTACTTACCCCAAGGTGGCTATGGCTAGAAAGTGAATGATATGTAAAGTTACTGTATGTAAAGTGTTTAGGATGGCACCGTGCACATAGTGAACACTAGAAGTAAACACTGAAGCTTGGTATCATTATTGATATCATCTATGACTGGTTCTGAGAGGGGGAGTCGGGGATAAATGTGCAGACATGGAGGTGCAGGTACAGTCTTCCCCTTTCTGTGGGTGAAAGGGCTCTTCAAATTATAAAATACTAAACAAATGTCCCCTTGTCTCACCTCCTACCTAAACTGTCTCCTGCCCATTCACCATTCAGAAAGCATTTCAATGCGCCAGGCCCGTACATTATCCCGTTTATTCTTTATTGATTTTAGAGAGAGAGGAAGGGAGAAAGAGAGAGAGATAGAAACATCAATGAGAGAGAACATCGATGGGCCCCCTCCTGCATGCTCCCCACTGGGGATTGGGCCCACAATCTGGGCATGTACCCTGACCGGGAATAGAACCGTGACCTCTTAATGCATGGGTCAGTGCTCAACCACTGAGCCACACCGGCTGGGCTATCCTGATTATTCTTGACAACAACCTCTGAGGGAAACCTTGGGATCCTTGGGTCTGTGGTGAGGAGCTGGGGTTAAGTGACTTGCCCAGAGACACACAGACAGTGAGTGAACACCCAGGCCTGTGGACTCAAAGCCCAGGACCCCTGCTCTTGTTATTAAGTGCCTTTGAATTGGCTCCGACTCCTGGTGATCCTGTGAATGAGTGATGTCCACCATGTCCTGTCTTCAACAGCTCTACTCAGCTCCTGCAGGCTCTTTCCCGTGGCTTCCTTTATGGAGTAAATCTGGCTCGTATGTGGTCCTTCCCCTTCCCAGCCACCTTCTGTTTTTCCCAGCATTATTGTCTTTTCCAGAGCACCCTGCCTTCTCCTGACGTGCCCAAAGTAGGACAGCTTCAGTTTCCTCATTTCTACCTCCAGTGATGATTCAGGCTTAATTTACTCTGGGATCCACTTGTTCATCTTTCTGGTGGGCCAGGCTGCCGTAAAGCTCTCTCCAACACCATGTTCCAAATGAATCCATTTTTTTCCTGTCTGCCTTCCTCACTGTTCAATTTTCACGTCTGTACATAGTCATTGGGAATACAGGTTGTGAGTGACCTCCACCACTGCCTCTTTCTCCCTCTCTTCTGCTTCCCTTTCCCAGTCTCCTCTCCCAACCCCAGCCTTCTCCCAGTTTGGGCTCCCCAAAACCACAGGCCAGGGACTCGCAGTCGGACAGGTGAGCGCATTGCTTGTGTGATGACATGGTTCCGTGTCCTGTGCTGCAGCATAAGCAGCCTCTGCACCTTGGGGCGAGCACCAAGCCTTCTCTCAGTATGGGCTGCCTGCCCCGGGCAGGCTCACCGCCAGGGTCGTTCTTGAGGGTCACAGCAGCGAGGGTTGCACTCACTGACTGTCGCTCTCTGTGCACCAGACCGGGCAGGGCTCTCTGCACTAGAGCACGCCAAGCTCCCTCCTGCCCGGGGACTCCCGTGCTGCTCTCCACCTGGACATCCTCTGCCCAGCTCTTCCCACGGCTGCCTCCTCTCACACCATCTTCAGTTAGGTCCCCCGTCACTACACTAGTCGCTGTTCTCCACGTGTGATTGCGTGGCTGGTTGTCGACCTGTTCGTGTCAGTCTTCCTCACTAGACCATTTCTGGTCTAGAAGCAGGCGATTCATAAATGTTTGTGAATTAGTGAATGAATGAATGAATGAATGAATGAATGAATGAATGAATAAGGAGGGAAGGAGGGAGGGAGGAACTGTATGGCAGCTACATCCACACACACAGAAAACCATCCTAGCAACAGGGCCGTCTTCAGCCAGTGAGATAGACGTGGCTGTGGAAGACACAGCCATTTCTTCTGCGACTGCTGCTGGCCACATCTTTGTGTTACTGGCGCAGGTCCCTGTCACCTGTTTTTTGAAGCATCCGCTGTCCTGGGGATGGACCCACAATACTTGACAGGTCCCTCTCTGAGCAGCCCAAGGTGTTAGCCCTGCAGAGGTAGAAGAAACCAAGCATCAGCTAGATTGGAAACCAGCATTTCTCCTTGTTTGATGACAAAAGAATTTCGAGATCATCTAAGCTACTAGCTATCACCCTGGGCCTCAGAGCAGTTGAGGGCCCAGGAATGCCTTGGGGAACCCTGTGAGGGGTATGGAGAACCTCACGGGAGCAGGTGGGGCTCAGGTGCCTCTCCTGGCTTGGTCTGCATTTGATTTCTGAAAAATCGTTCACTATGAGGAGGGCCACTGCTTAAAAATGTGTGGAGATCACCGCTGTCACTCAGCCTGTTCGTTTTACAAGTGGGAGACCCAAGGCCCGAGCAGTGGGCAGGCTTAGCTCAGAGCACACAGCCAGCCGGTCGCAGAGGGGACGAGGCTGCCGTTTCCAGGCTCCTAGAACAGTCTCGTCCCTCCTCGCCTCGGCGGATTCCGTGGAACATCTGCAGAAATGCATTAGTCCTTTCTGTCCCCAAGGACATTTCTCAATAAATTACTTTTTCATTGTATTAAAGAGCAAACTTCCTGCTAGACAATAGCTCATTATCAAGTACAGCCAGTCCTGGGCTATGATGGTTCGCACCTCTAATCTCCCAGTTTCCTTAATGTTATACTCAGGATAAAAATAACATGGACACCTCCCCCCGCCCCCATAAAAAAAAAAAGTGCCAATCTTGAGAAAGACTAGGTAAATTTTACAAGAGTGACGTTCTGCAAGTGCATCTATTTCCCCAGAGAGCAAAAATATGAATCCAGCGTGGTGCCATCCCCACACCCCGATGAGAGAGAGGAGACCAGACACCGTCCCATTTCACAGATGACCATGAAGACCATCCCTGCATGTCACCCCGTTTTCTTGATGACTCATGCGCAGAACCCAGAGGACTCTGGCCTCCCGCCCCTCCATCCTTCTCACCAGCCGGCAGTGTGCGACCTGCCGTTTTTCAGAAAAGCAATCATTATTCTTGTTTGAAGAAGCAATTCTCAAGGCAGCTTTGGGAGAGAACTTACTCAGCAGTGATTGTCTTAAAAATGAGATTTGGGAGAAACAATTTCAGAGTTATGGAGAGGCTTGTCTCAAGCACGGCAGATACGGGCCACCGCAAAAGACATTTCTCTGAACCACATGAGCAGGGGCAGTTCTGAGTTGAAAACCATAGACACTAACTACAGGCTGGGTTGGCGCTGCCTTGCAGAAGGCATTTTCCTCTGAAATGAGTCTCCTCCAGGATCCTCGGGGCAACTCATTGA